TGAGGCAGTAGGATCGCTTGAGCCCAGGAGTTTGAGGTTGCTCTGAGCTAGGCTAACGCCACGGCACTCACTCTAGCCAGGGCAATAGAGTGAGACTCTGTCTCAAAAAAAAAAAAAAAAAGTATCAATGCAAACAAATTTTAGAACTGTCTCTAGAAGAGACTAAAATGTTACTTATTATATGGCCTAAGTTAAATGTATTAAAATAGTAAATAGTGCAACAATGTTTTAATTATAATAGAGCTACAGTATGTAAAGAAAACTAGAGAAAAATGAGAAGACAATGCAGAGAGATAGATAACAGTGCAAAATAGATTTGCCTTCTAGTGATATTTTTCACATATTTCTTGTAAGTGATATTTTTTCATCAGTTATGGAATCCCGTAATCGCAGAATTCCTTTTCCATCCTTAGGATTCTCTGAAGGCCTTTCAATCTTGTTCGCCCAGTGCATTTTCCTTGTTGACACACAGCATGATTTGTATTATCAGTGGTGGTACTCTTTTGTTTTTTACCTTTGTTCAATTCAGTCCCAGGAAACTATTTTCTACATTAACAAGTATGAGCACCTACCAAATGCTAAGCACTTTTTCTTGGTATGTCTTCTGGAACAAAAAAGTATCTCAGCATTTAAATAAGGCAAAATGACCTAAAGAAGATTTAAAATGAAAGACCTTCTATGTTCTTTGAAATGAAATACTGCCAAAGTAGACTTACTTTAATGATTTTTACTGGTAAATATATAAATGCAGTGAGAGTTGCCAGACTTTAAAAGGCATGAATAACAGTCTCATGAAATGCCAGACATTATTGTAGAAAAGAGAAAGAAGACACCCTACTAGGGGTTTTACTTCCTTTAAAAAACAGAGATGAAAACTAGCTTGCTCAAGTGCCTGAATACATATGGTTTAAGTAACAACTATAGCATTTGCAGAATAAAATCTAGGAATGTTTACATATGCTTTCAATCTGAGGGCTGACTTGTTTGAAGAAAAGTAAAAATTTGTGAGATCACTGACTGACAGAATTTTAGCAAATAGAAAAAAAATCCAATGTCTTCAAAACTATCATCATAAGGGCTGACCTTTCTTCCCCAACCCCCTCACCCAAGCCATTACTTTGCACCAAAATAGAAAATATTCTTTTTGGGGGGAATTATGGGTTTTGTCTGAGAACAAATAATATGAAAATAGTAAATGGTATTTGTATGACAGCATATTTTCCAAATTCAAAATCAGGACACCATGTTCTAGCAAGGGTATTTTAAAACAGTAATGAGATAATGTTTGAAAGAGAAACAACATATTTGAAATTATATATTTCTAGGGTATTTGGTTGCTCTATCACTGAAATAGGGATAATCTAGGTATAGATTTCTTTGCTCTTGGAGGGGGGAAAAAAAGCATTTTGTTGTTTTATGTTGTGTTATGTGTTGGTATTGGTTTTAATTATCTACACGCTTGCAAAATTAAATGCTTATGGATTCAAAGCTGATAGCTACCATAGCTTGCCAAAATACAACCAAATGTTTTCCAAATGTTGGAAAAAAATTGTTTTTGGACTTTACAGAAATAGCAACCCTTCCCCCAAAATTGGGAGAAATTTGTCTTCTAGGCATTTTCAAAGTTTACTGATATCCCAGGGAGCTGTCAAATCACCACCAGGCACATTTTTCATTTTTTTCTACACTTATGTCTTATATTTGAAATATTTTCCTAATTAATGCTTCTTTTCTGTGGCATTTTTCCCATAAATATAAAAAAATACATGCATCCAAAATACATTTTTTAAAAACTTAAAACTAATTTTTCAAATAAAATATTATATTCTAGTCAACTTAATCAAGGAAAAAGCTTTGAGTTAAAAACATATTTCAGAATTTTGCATTTGGACACATATACAGTGGGAAAATATAACTAAAAATAAAATCTTCTTTCAACCCAGAAATCCTCTCCATAAAGGTAGTAGAGAAAAAAAACATTCATTGCTGAATAAGCATTAAAACAGAATGTGATGTGTTTCACAGGCAATTCACTAAGAGATTAAAAAGACAGAAAGGAATCTCACCCCTTTATATAGCCAAGCAGATACTACCCACCGTATACATGTATTCAGGATAAATAATAACTAGTCTTCAAGCGAGAAGACTTGATAGCAGCTTTGTCATACGTAGTTCATCCTAACTTTACCTGGTAATTGGGCTGGCCATCTGTTAGCTTATTGGCTTTATTCAGAGAAATACAAACTTTTATCTTTATGACAAAAGGTAGTTTTGCAACTGGAAGCAAGCCCTCACCAAACTTAGGCTCCTACCTTCCCACGGAAGCTGGGAGATGGGGCGCTGTCTTCCTTGATGTTTACATTTTGAAAAGATGGCTCCCATGTCCTTAAGAAAAACACTCCTGGTCATAAAGGTGACAAAAGGACTATCTAGTAAAGATGTTTCAAAGAGAGGAGAATGTACTTGTAGTTACAAGTTTTCTAAAGTAAGTGTTCTGAGAAAAAGTAGGAAAGAGAAATCCTTTATTTTCAACGAGGATAATTAAGCCTCATTTTGAATTTGTATTTGTCCTGATGATATACCATACAGTTGCATTAACTCAATTATTCACTGGTTTAATAAACATTCTCTGTTTCCAGCTGCTTTTTCAGGGCTCACACATTTAGAAGAGTTAGATCTATCAAACAACAGTTTGCAAAACTTTGACTATGGAGTATTAGAAGACTTGTATTTTTTGAAACTCTTGTGGCTCAGAGATAATCCTTGGAGATGTGACTACAACATCCACTACCTCTACTACTGGTTAAAGCATCACTACAACGTCCATTATAATGGCCTAGAATGCAAAATGCCTGAAGAATACAAAGGGTGGTTTGTGGGAAAGTATGTTCGAAGTTACTATGAAGAATGCCCCAAAGACAAGTTACCAGCATACCCTGAGACATTTGACCAGGATACAGAAGAAGATGAATGGGAAAAAATACATAAGGATCATATGGCAAAGAAGCAAAGTGTAAGAATTACTATAGTGGGATAACAAGAAATTGTCCTGGTTGTAACTAGTTTGTATTTGCTATACTGGCATCAGAAAACCATATGTTTACATTTTGATTAACTGTGTTGCCTATTTATGCAGGGTTATCCAGCTAAAGGAAGCTTTTTTTAATTATTAGTATAATTATTATTGCGACAATTATATAATCAAGGTAATACTTTCATCCTGCTTTTGTGGAGCAGTCTCTGCTAATACACAATTCCACACTGCAAGTGTTGGGTCCTAATGATGGCATTAGAATTTCTTGATGTCCTGTATAAATGTTTTTTACTGCTTTCTGGCAATAAAAAAAAACTTGATTCATTTTTACATGTCTTTCGACAGCTGTTTGTACATACCTAAAAAAGATCGAAATGCTTAGTCATAACAAAATGTCATTCATTCCCCTCAACATCCCCCCTGCTTTTTTTCAGTAAATCGGCTTATGCATTAAATAAATTTCCATTTCTGATTTCTGTAAATTCCAAAATAAGGTCCTGCTAAATCCAAATTCTCAACCACTCTTCACTGATCCATGCAAAAAACTATCAAGCTACACCTGAAGGAGAACTGTCACAAGCAATAGAGAATATGAGAATTATACTGGAAGCTGGTTAGAAGATAGCACCCTGAGAAATAGTTGTAGATGGTGTGAATCAAGAGCTCTGAAGAGGTATAAACACTGATGAGTGTGAAAACAGCATTGTGGGTTTGTTTTTTTATTTTTTAAGGATTCAGACTGGGAAGCCCTTCCTGCTAAGGTAATATGTCAAGGAGCATAAAACAAAGGATTAAGTTAGATTCAGGGACCGAATGTGGGATGAAGTCAAAACAAAAAACAGAAAATAATATCAGAGATTCTATACACACACACATGCACACACATATATACATATGTGTATTATATTTTATACATATATAAGATATGACATATATAAGATTTTATGACATATATAAGATATATTTCCAAAAGAGGAGCAGGTACTAGGAAGGTTAAGCCTTTCTCTCCAGGAGCACCCATGAGGGCAGGTGGCAGGAGAAAGTCTTTGGTACAAGATGTTTCAATCTGTATTAATATGTACAGGAAACCAAGAGAATGGGAAGCTCAAAGTATTGCCAGAGCTGTTGCTCCAGGAAATGACTCTGGATTGTGTTACCAATGGTTTGGGTCAGAGGTGGAGACTTAGTGATACTCGTTCTCAGTGCAAATCCCCACATTGTTCACTATGAGGCATTAAAGACAGCTGTTAAATTTGAAGGATTACCAGAAAGATATAACAAATTCATTTATTATTGTTCATGAGCCTCGGAGTAGAATTTTAAGCACACAGGTCCTGAAACAGCCAAGATTTGATGATGGAGAAAACCTGGTGTGACCTCAGTAGGAGACAGGACGATCACACTGGGGACAAGAAGATTCTGGAATAAAATGAGATAAAATCTGATTCAGAGAAAGGGCCCAAGTTCTCTGGTTTAATTTTTAGTTAGGGATTTCATTGGTTGGTTTTTATATTCAATTTCATCCCCAGGGATCTATTTGGAAATAAAACTCTGGAACACACTGAAATAGAAATTAACCCAAACCATCCAAAAGTCAGTCAGTAGGAGTTGCTAACATCTCTCAGAGTCAAAATTGGAGTACATTTTTGACAACTTAAGATTTGCTCCTTCTCTGAATCAGAGTTTATAGTTTTTCAAGGAAGTATAGTTGATCCATGGAATGAATAATTAGATACTTCTTCTACCAAGTTGTTTTTTTTTTAACTTTTCTGCTAGTCCTAAGATTCTTTGATTTTTCTGAAATAAACAAGATTCACTATAAACTGAGGCCTCCTGAGTCTTAAGCCTGAATTAACTCTGATGTAATGCCTGGTTATTTGAGAAAGATACTTAACTTTAAGCAGCTCAGTTTTTTTCATGTACTTACCATTCCCTCCTCTGGAGCCTACACCCTTGATCAATTCATATCTTTTTCTGAGAAATATAAAGTCTCCTGCTCTTAGGAGCAAATAGAAGCAATGCAGAAATGAGAATCTACTTGCCTAAATTCTATAAACTGGTGCCCTCATCTGCCTTTTAAACATTTTAAGATAACATTCTAAAGTCAATTTTCTTCTAAAGCTTTTATTGACATAAGGATTACAATTGTTGTGTCCAATCAGCCAAAGAGCCCAAAATATCAACCGATATTTACCTTCAATCTAACAATCAGAGAACCAAAATTCTTGCCAGAATGTGTATAATTCTAGACATACCAATAGATGAACTGACCTTAGCTGGAAGGCGGGAAAGGAAACATTAAAACATCTCTGAGAATGGTTTTTATCTTTGATACACTCAAAGTTGCTGGAATTAAAACTGGTTTTATTAAATATCTTTGGCAAATTAAAAATATTACAAAGAAGATACAGATATAACATTTACTTCCTTAAGAAAATCAAGGACTGTTCAGGCTTTCATGCTTGTTTCTATGATAAAGATACTCATACTAAGCCCTGGCATGGTGGCTCACACCTATAATCCCAGTACTTTGGAAGGCCAAGGCAGGAGGATCTCTTGAGGCCAAGAGTTTGAAAACAGCCTGGACAACATAATAAGACTCCATCTCTACAAAAAGTAGAAAAAATTAGCTGGGTGTTGTGGCATGTGCCTGTAATCCCAACTCCATGGGAGGCTGAGGCAGGAGGATCACTTGAGCCCAGGAGTTTGAGGTTACAGTGAGCTGTGATCATGCCACCGTATTCCAGTCTGGGTGACAGAGTGAGATTCTGTCTCAAAAAAAAGAAAAAAAAAAGATTTACTAAGAATTACACTTCTAGATAAATACTCAATAAAATATTTTAAAATAGATAACAAAATATCGAAAAATTTAAAGCAAGAAAATACTTTCAGGCTACCTTGACCTCAGATACAACTATAAACATATACATATCTTAAATATATAGTATATATAAGATTAATCATTATCTGACATAATGAACAGATGGTCAATATTCCCATTGCATAGTAGAGCATTTGACTTAGGCATTTTCATCATCTGATCCTCTCTGTACTCTCTATACAAATTACAACCTCATGTTGCCCATTTCCTCTCTATCCCAAACTTCCCAGTGTACCTTGTGCCTAAGTATGAGGAATTCTATATGTGGAAGCAGGTAAAAAAATCTAGGGAAGGTTATAGCTGTAAATGCCTACCTCAAAAAAGAAGATAGTTCAAGAGAATGAAAAGGTAAGCCACTGAGTAGGAGAAAATATTTGCCAAAAACACATCTGACAAAGGACCATTATCCAAAATATAAAGAACTCTTAACAATAAGAAAACAACCCAATTAAAAAATGGGCCAAAGACCTTAACAGACACCTCATCAGAAAGATAGAAGCATGTGAGAAGATACTCCACATCATATGTCATTGGGGAAATGTAAATTAAAACAGGAATGGGAAAATATTACACACCTATTAGAATGGCCAAAATGCAAACACTGACAACAACAAATGATGGAGAGGATATGGAGCAATAGGAACTTTCATTCATTGCTGATGAGAATGCAAAACAGTACAGCCACTTTGGAAGACAGTTTGGCACTTTCTTACAAAACTGAACATACTCATACAATCCATTAGTTGCATTTCTTGGCATCTACCCAAAGGAGCTGAAAACTTATGTCTGCACAAAAACCTGCATATGGATATTTATAACAACTTTATCCATAATTGCCAAAATTTGGAAGCAACTAAGATGTCCTTTAGTAGGTGAATGGATAAACAAACTGTGGTACATCCAGACAATGGAATATTATTCAGCACTAAAAAGAAATTAGCTAACAAGCCATTAAAAGACATGGAAGAAATTTAAATACAAATTACTAAGTGAAAGAAGCCCATCTCAAAAGGCCACATACTGTATGATTGCAACTATATGACATTCTGGAAAAGGCAAAACTAGAGAGACAATAAAAAGATCAGTGGTTGCCAGGGGTTAGTGGAGAGAGGAGGGATGACTAGACAGAGTACAGAAGATTCTTTTTTTTTTTTTTTTTTTTGAGGCAGAGTCTCACTGTTGCCCAGGCTAGAGTGCCGTGGCGTCATCTTAGCTCACAGCAACCTCAAACTCTTGGGCTCAAGCGATCCTTCTGCCTCAGCCTCCCGAGTAGCTGGGACTACAGGCATGCGCCACCATGCCCAGCTAGTTTTTTTTTTATATATATATTTTTAGTTGTCCGATTAATTTCTTTCTATTTTTTTAGTAGAGACAGGGTCTCGCTCTTGCTCAGGCTGGTTTCGAACTCCTGAGCTCAAACAATCCACCCACCTCGGCCTCCCAGAGAGCTAGGATTACAGGCATGAGCCACCACACCGGCCCAGAAGATTCTTAAAGGAATGAAACCACTCCATGTGATACTACAATGGTGAATAAATGTCATTATAAATTTGTCAAAACTCATAGAATGTACAACACTAAGAGTGAACCCAAATGTAAACTATGGACTTTGGGTGATAATGATGCGTAAATATAGCTTTATCAATTGTAACAAATGTACTATCTGGTGGGGGATGTTGATAGTGGGGATGCTATGCATGTGTGGGGGAAAGGGAGATATGGGACATCTCTATGTCTTCCATTCAATTTTGCTGAGAACCTAAAATTTCTCTAAAAAATAAAACTTATTCAAAAGAAGAAGATAGGCTTCAAATCAATAACGTCACTTTCTACCTTAAGAAACTAGGGAAAAAAAGAACAAACAAAACCCAAAGCAACCAGAATAATAAAGATTGGAATGGAGATAAACAAAATAGAGAATAGAAAAACAGTAAAGATAATCAATGAAAATAAAGTTGTTTGAACATCCATATTCATAGCAGCAATATTCACAATAGCTAAAAGGTAGAAGCAACCTTAGTATCTATTGATGGAAAAATGGATAAACAAAATATGGTATATACATACAATAGAACATTAGTCATCTTTAAAAAGGAAGGAAATTCTGACATGTTATAATATG